CCGAACCACTGAGCTAAATCCCCGGCCCTATCTCTCAGATTTTATTCCAAGCTAATGACCACCAATTCTAAAAATTCTGAAAGCCAATTTCACAATTTTTGGTGTTGGGTTTGATGTTCTACTGATCAAAGTACATCCCAATGGCCACCTGGTCAACAATATATATAACTCATCCCGCTTTCCAAAATATTAATATTGAAAACTAGGTATCTTACAAATCAGTGAAACACAGAACATCCCAGAAACATACAAAGTCCCAGAGCATTTCCCTCACAATGCACCCAATAGAAAGAAGAAAAAACACACACACACACACACACACACACACACACACACACACACACACACATATATAAAATCAAGTACAGGCTTCCAGTCTATAATTTTTCACTTTAAACTGGTTGACTTTATTTATTTTTTATTTTTTTGGTACTGGAGATCGAACTCAGGTCTTTGTGCTTGCGAGGCAGGCAGCAGAACCACTGAGCTAAAACCCTGGTCCAAGCTGGTTGACTTTAGACCTTGCCTTCCAAAATAAAATGGCTTTAACTGTTTTTTTTTACAACATATAGATCACTTTAATTTAACTCAGTACCTCATTAATAAAAATGTAATTTCAGGCCAGGGATTTAGCTCAGTGGTACCACTGCCTGCCTCACAAATGCAAGAACCAGAGTTTGATCCCCAGTACCAAACAAACAAAAAAAAGTAATTTCAATGGGAATTATAAAAAAGATTATAAAGGTTTTATTCACAGCTTATAGATCCTTTCTAATTTTAAGATTCTATAAATTATTATTTCAAGGCAACTAAAACAGTAAACATTGTTAGAGAAAAAAAATATTGGCCAGGGATGTAGCTCACTGGCACCGCACCTGCCCGGCAGGAACAAGGTCCTAAGTTCGATCCCCAGTACCACAGAAAATTAAATTGCCTTATTATTAAACAAGCATTTTTCCACACATCGTGGCGCACGTCTATAATCCCAGCACTCAGGCTGCCAACCAGAGCCAGTGAGTTAAAGTCCAGACTAAACTACATAGGGAAACCCTATCTCAAAAAATAAAACAAAACAAATCAGGAACTTTTACAGCATTACATATTTTTGAGCAAAACAAAAACCTCATAAAACAAAAGGTTATAATTTCTCACAGGATGAGAGGAATAAAGATGTGCGATGTACAGGAACCTAATAACCCCAATTATTGTCAATACTATGTGCTATAGTATGAGGTAAGACAAATAATATCAACAGAAATGAAAAAGGGAATAGGAATGGGGGGCTTAAAAAAAGAAATAAGCTGTAGTATGTACATGTAACTACTCCCCAAGGTAATTGTAAACTGCATGGATTTCAAACATGTACTAATAAATTTTAAAAGTTACTTTAAAAAAGGAATGCAATATTAATAAACACAACCACATTTAAGAATCTCAAAAATATTATGCTAAATAAAAGTTGCTATAGTTTGGAAAACAAATTTCTCAGAGGGTTCCCCCCAGTAAACTCAGGACCTTGAGCCCGCCAGGCAGGCGTGGTGCCACTGAGCTACATTCCTGGCCCTCTCATAGGTTTTTACTTTATTTGGTAGCAATACATTCCTGGCCCTCTCATAGGTTTTTATTTGATTTGGTAGCAAACCCTAACCTTGACAGGGATTTATTTAGTTCTATAGCTCTGCCACCTGCCTCACAAGCACAAGGTCCCAAGTTCAATCCCCAATACCAAAACAAAACACAACAACAAAAACCTAACATCAACGGACATAAAGCTATTTATGTTCTATTTATTGCATTTACTGTAAAAGTACTGCATTTCTCTATAGAAATGCTAACTGTTTGATTACTAGGAACTGCCCAGACCCACTCAAGGGTATTATATAATACATGATATTATCTTTGTAAAATCTGAAAAATTTTGGAATTCCCAAATATATTTGATCCCACAGACTTTGATAAGATTATAGACCTGTATTTTCTATTCATCATACACATTTTTCTTCTACCCACATCTCCACAAACATTCTGATCTATCCCCGACCGAGAAACAATTAGAAAAAAGGAGGACTGGGGATTTAGCTCAGTGGTTCTGCCGCCTACCTCGCAAGCACAAGGACCGGAATTTGATTCCCTGTACCCCCCCAAAAAAAAGGGTCATACTTCCAGGAGTTCTTTAAAAAGCACAGTCTGTCATAAGCATTACATAATGCTGTCTGTCAAATACAAAGTCAATTCTTCTAACACATCAGCAATGTAACATATGGTTGAAACTGCTTTCCAAGAAGAGGGGACAGACTTACATTAATTTCATTATTCTCCCTTTCTATTCAGGCCTCTCTGGTTATACTGGGTTTAGAGCTACAGGCCATAGCAGGAAAAAAAAAAGCTAAATAACCAACACTTCTGCAATAAACCTATAGTCACCTTTCTCATAATTACCCTAACCAATTAAGACAAACATTTTACTCAAGGTTCTTAAAGAAATCAGGACCAGATTTAGCTCAATGGCTTCGTGTCTGCCTAGCAAGCAGGAGGTCCTGAGTT